ATTAGGAGCTTTCGAGCAATTTTTATGCATTATTTATAAAACTTTATACTTTTTACCTAACGGAGCGGAACAGTTTTAAATGTATTCTTTTATTACAGATTTTGATCATGTTTTTATGTTAATTTACTTCTTTCGAACCTCAAACTAATGTCTTGTTGATGGTATTGCTTTTGTTTTTGACAACGATGCTGGTGCCACCATCATCATTATGAATAAGAATGCATAAAGATTGAATAAGAACAATCTTAAGTTTGGTTTCGTTGTCGTTACTGCCGCGGTTACTGCGGTTGCCAGGGCCTTTATTGTTGATGGTGATTCCTCGCTTTATTGATTTGGTTCTTGGGGAAGCAGCGTTTTGAAGTAGTTTTGTTTCTATATTTCTTATTTTGTATTTATCTTTATTTTTTATTCATTTTTTTATTTATTTATTTTTTATTCATTCTTTTTTTTAGCGGAGTAACGGAAAGAAGAAGGGTAAAGTCAAGAGTATGAAGCGGGATTGGAAGCAAACAACTAAAGTAGGCAACATGTATAGCCAACTGTTTTTCAAAAAAAAAAAAAACGAATTTTTGGAAACAAAGATTGCAGAACGGATAGAATTTTTTCTGAGCACCTTTTGAGTTCAGATCATTAGGTTTATTTTGGCATAAACGTTGTTGTTGTTTTTTTTGTTATTGTCATTGAAGATAAAGAAAATTTTTACTATACTTCTTTTTTCGTTTTATTGTTTTTCAGGATCAGTTGTTTTTTCTCCTATTTTAACTCTTCCTGTTGTGTTCTGCTGTTTGTAAAAATCTCTGTTTATTTATTCTGTGGGTCAAGCTAATCAACTTACACACTAAGATTCCCGATTACTAGTTTTTCCTCTCAGTTTTTAGTTATCTGTATCGCGAACAGCTTATTACAACAGTTTACCAAAAGCCTGGCAATGCGTTTGAGAGAGGAACGGAGGGGAGGTAAGGTGAAAAAGAAGACTGGATGAATAGCAGTTGACCATAAAGGTGGTTGTTGTTTTTGCTCCTGCAACAAAGGTCATTCTCATCAAAAGAGACGTCACCTTAAAAACTTTTGTGCGACATACCTAGTACTCTTAATTTTTTTATACAAATACCAACTGTTTATATGTGTCGAGAACTGTTAAAGAAACCTTAGATGTATGAGTGTTGCTTTCAGGACTGAGATGTAACTGTGAAAGAATATTTATAGGATAAAGATTCTTTTATGTTGAATTGCACGAAGAATGAGGAAGGTTGTCTTGTAGACTTTTGGTAACACTGTTAAACAGTCTTAGTTCACTGATATGTCTACCAACTACGACCGAAAATTGAAGTTTACGTAATTGGTTTTTTAAAACTATTTTTACATATTTTTTGCTGAATAATTACTATTATTAATGTCTTGTATTTCTTTAAAGATAATTTTGCTATTTACTTCTTCTTAACTTCTCTGTTCTGCTAAGCTCATGGTGAATTTAAAATTGTTTAAAGAACTGATTCTAATGGTTTTCCGCTGCACAAGTTTTAATTCATAGAACAGCGGTTAGTGACGTTTGCGTATGTATAAACTTTTATAGTCAAAATTTGACTACAGTTTCGACGTTTCTTCTTTGAAAATTTTTTCTGCTTTATTTTTATATTTTTATTCTTTTTGCAGGTATAAAAGGAAGAAGTAAGGAATTTATTTTTGTGACAATTATCAGTTGGAAGCTTTTGGTTTTTTTTTTGTTTACATGGGCGAAGCCACCTATTAAGAAAAGAAGAGAAAGCTGTACAGAACTGAAGCAGAGAAGCGAGAAGAAACACTTAATTTTTTTCACAACGGCACCTTCAAAACCTCATTTCATTCCCGTTTTTCGTAACGAACTTTTTCTCTGAAACGTCGCCGGATCTGATTACGAAAAGGCATTAAAAATCAACTGAACAACAGCAGAAGAGGAGGAACAAAAGAAAATAAAACGCCAAATATTTCTATCAAACATTTTTTCTTCACCAAATTTTTCTTTGTCACTAAAAACTGCTTTTATACTAAGCAGTTTTAAATTTTTTTAAAATAACTTTAGTTGGAGAATTTTTTTGGTGACATAAATATTCGTTGAACCGCGGCAAATTTAAATTATGTAAGTTTTTTTGGTTTGGTTTTGAAGCTCTTTTCTAGCATTTGTACAAAGCATTTTAATTACTTTAGCAAGTTTCTTTTTCCTTTTAGAGGAATGCATGGACTAGCAAAAAAAAAAAAAA